GTAATATTTCATTGAATATTCAACTGATTATTCCGCTCTTCATTGCTTTATATCACACTCATCTGGATGCACTTCTAAGTAAAATAACACAGATAATCACATTTTTTAATAAGAACCAAGAGCAACAAAATTCAATGAAATTTTGAGTCGTTTCCTCTAATTCGATTTTTTCGGCTTCAATATTCCATTTGTTATTTGTTAATTCAACTGCATGTTCTAAAGACTGCAAACCTTTTACTTGGCTATTTGGAAATATTTTCATCCGATCGAAATGTACATTAATTCTCGCTGAGTTCACCCTTAGTGAGAATTCACTGTCGAAGTGAGGTAAATTGTTCCATGCAAAAGGATCTTAAGCTTGACTGTCAAGTACATTTCCATGATCTCTGATCGAAATTATCAAACATGTAAGTGCTCGATGGTTCGATGAAAATCCATTACGGATTTTTTTTTCACTTTTTAGATAAACTCTGAACTTTTCAAAATTCAAATGATATAATTTATGCGATGCATTTCTTTCGTAAAAAATCGAAATTTCCGAAATGGCAGAATTCACCTGACGTTAATACTGCGATAAAATGGACTTGAAGCATTGCAAATAAGTGTTTGAGAATCAAGAATTTCATCTACACATGCAAGTGTATTGTTATTAGCTGATACCGGAGAAGATAAGATGCCTTAGCAAAGAAAATGCAGTATGCCCTTACGACATGATCATTAGCAACATTATATGAAATATTAATTTGAATTTGAATAATTTGGTTCCTCGAATTTGTTCAATAATTTGTTGAATTAACTCGTTTCTGATTGATAATGAACATATTGGTTCGAAAAAATGTGTTTGAACATGTCCCGCATCAATATTACAAAAATTGTTCGATCCCGGGATTATCCCGGGATCAAAAATCGATCCCGGGATTGAAATCGGGATTTTGCAAACCCTAGTACTTATTCAGTTGCTGTTTCACATGACACGCCTCCGAAGGTTTGCTCTTGTATTGGATCTGTTTTCTCAGCATTGAATGCGATTTCACAACGACCATTCCGGTTACAATTATTCTACTGTTGAACGTTATTCTTCAATTATTTCCGATTTCATGGTTATTAAAGACATTTTCACCGATTACTGTGCCTGTCACGTTCCCATATAGTTGTTTATTCAGTTTTAACGCATATGAACCGGATTAGAGAATCAGCCAAATCACAGCACAGTCTGGAATAGGTGCAAATGTACGAAAACTAAAATCGCAATTCTCATTCTTATTTCCATATTTCCTCAGTGCTCAACAGAATTTTCACTAGATTCTTTCGTATTAATTCATTCTAAGCGTCAGGAGCATAAAATTCAAGACTTTCGTCATGTCATGCAACTAAGTGAATGAAGCAACGTTTTGATATCTGCAAATAAACTCAGGTGTGTCACGAAAGAAATCTCGTCATCCTTCTATCAAAACGATAACCATCTACTAAAAACCGTTCATCAGTCATGAAGAAATCAACGATCATTTGCTCATTCAGAATTTGAAAATGAATTTTTCAGATTCATTTTCAAATTTCAAATGTGTTTCATGATGCTGGTTGTAACTGTAAAGTGTTGTACGAGCCAATGAAGCCATTTGGATTGAGAAAATTAATCGTATTTTATCACGATTGTGAGCATTCGAACTTCATTACGTTTAGTAACTTTTCAAATGTTCATTCTAACTGCGTTCTTTGATCGATGAATATTCATTGGTCACACAGTACGACCAAACACAGGATTCTAAATAGGATCTGTTTCATTTTGGGTGATATCGCAAGAGTGGTGCATGGACGTGCGGCTTTTATGGTTGTTGGAATATTTAACATGTCTGCATGAAAACGTGCAATATTCATCAGATTCTCATGAAGATTTCATTTTGCGCCGTTTTTCGTTAAACAGAGGATTTCAACGCGATAACGAAGCTGTTTTTGAAGGGATGATGAGCTCAGATGCGAGGCAATTGACGGATGGAAGAGCTCAGATGTGTGCTCATGCTGATGCGCTTATCGAAGATTGGATTCAGAAAGCAACCTCAATCAATATTTTAATGTCTTCTCAGGATATAGCCATTGTTGGTTCTAGTTTAGAACGTCCATTTTTATCTCGCTTTTATGAACAGATCCGTTGGCTTAGGCATTCAAACTTTTTGCGATACAATGAGTGCAGAGTGCTCGATTGGAATGATTATGGACAGTTTATATTTTGAAACAACTGATATGAAACAAAAGAATCTAACTTTTTCGGGACATGGTTGTGTTAAAATCGCAATCTTAACCAACCACTCGGTGGACGCTGAACGATCTCCGCGATAGCTTATAGGTAGAGCCCCAATCGGTAATTGGTACGTCGCGGGTTCGACTCCCGTTCGCGGAGGGAAGTTTCACTCGAAACCGAGTGGCTTACCTGTATCACTGATGTTACAAGCCTCAACCGGGCCATGATTTGGCTTGTATTTAATTATCTGTGGCATTTGATTATTGGCAAAATCAAACAATTTATCCAAATTTGTCAGGCGTTAAGTGCCCGTCCGAAATTAGAAGACCTTCAGAAGCATTGCTACAATGAAAAAATTGCCGAATTTGCTTGGATAACGCTGAAGGTTACACATGCACTCTCGTGTATCAGCAATATTACTATCAACTCGATTCAGTTAGTTGCCAATTCGTTTCTTTATACAGTCTTGGTTAAAAATCGTTTCTTATGCATGTTGACTGCATCGAATTTGAATGATCGTTGCAAATTCCTCTCATACCGAGTGCCGTCAACGTTGCTCCACGTAGCCAAAAAATTTATCAAGTAAATACTAATTTCCTCAGATATTCGTTCATGTACTTGCAATTCTTCACTCACTAACAATTAAGCTACCCTTAAAAAGGCTTTCGTCGGAAATGATCAGTCTTGCAGAAGCTCTGCAGCTCAGCAACACCAAAGCTTGTGGGGTGTATATTTGTTAACCTTCATATTCAGCACTGTTTTTATCATCGGTTTACTTGGCAATCTACTTACAATGGCCGTTATATATTGTACTCCTGCTCTACACTCACATACTAATTACTTCTTAAGCAATCTGGCATGCTCTGATTTTTTCCTGATCATTTTTGGTATTCCATTCGATTTGATCTCACTTTGGCGTAATGCAAAACCACCGAAACTACCAGCATATTGCGAAATTATGAGTGAGTTTATTTGGCAGTCATGATCAGATTATTTATTGCATGATGCGAATGGAAGTCGTTCGTGAAGTGTTTATGCGAGAGAATTGTTTTCAGGTACGTCGATAAGTTTATTCACGTACTCGTCAGTTCTAACGATAGTTGCATTAACTGCTGAGCGATTTGTAGCGATTTGTTATCCATTCAACATGAAGATATTATTCAATAAAAGAAAAGTGATCAGTGTTATCTACCTAAGTTGGATCATTGCTTTTATTCCATCGCTTTATATTGGACTTCAGGTTTGTTTCTATGCGGCTTTTTTTTCTGAACGCTCACAGATTAGTCATCGAGCTGATATCAAATTCGAGCGAACAAACTGCATGAACTGGATCAATTTACGGAACGCAGCTAGCTGCATCGCGCATATTTCATTTGGATAAGCATCGTTATTAATTGATGCAATGAAGCTGTGCTACTAAACTTTCGCTTGCTTCGCTAATTGACCATGACTAAGGGGAATCTTCTCACACTGTACTTTTTGGATAATCTTCGAGAGCGNTGATTATGAACACTAATATGGTCTGTGGATCAGCAAAGAAGATATTTTCTATCCGATTTAGATTACTTTACATTTTGGAAGTATGCGAAATAGTTTACTATGCGCAATAAATTGGATGAATTCAGTTCAAGCCGGTCACACCCGATTTTTGTGGATACAATCGTGAACTTGGCGATGGTATTGGAAAATGCGATTTTGTGGCGAGTGAAGTGATTCCGTTTCAATTCCCTTTCGAGGTTTATTTTGCATGAGTATCCATTTTGCATGAGTATAGTTTCACTTTAGAATCTTTTCCGATTCAATTGTCGACAGCTTGGTCAGTCCAAGTTAGATGACCTTACATTGCTTCTTCGAATTACACCCCATCATTCGAAGTTTCTTTATTGCTACAATTAATTCGCTGAATTTGCTGTTTACTAGTGCAAAGTGATAACTTTTGATTGCATAATTTTCTCTTGACATCCCGCTACGTTCTAGTAAGCATGTCTGTCCTAGTTCTCATTTGCGCTCCATGGCAACTATTTATCAGTGTTCCGATTACATTTTTTTCTATTCCGCACTCATACGTAAATAATTTATGTTATTGAGAAAATCGAGAGAATTATCGTGATTCCATGTGTAATCGCTGAGAGTAATACGAACTACAGGTACTTAATTATGGAAAGTGGAGAAACCTTTTGCGGTATGTCATGCGAGTAAAGATAATAAACTGAATATCTAAAGGCTTTCGCCTACTAATGACAGAGTTACATTTCAGGTGAATATGCTGTTAACGTTTGTGATACCGGTAGCGTTCATTCTCTACTGCTATGTGAGAATTTTGAGCACACTGAAAGAATTATCGCATTGTACAACGGTGCACATACCGATAGCGACCACTTACAGTGAATCTATCAGAAGAGATAACACGTTATCATTGCATGCGCACATCAGAGATTCGTCATTGCTCGCTAGTCACCAAGCGCAAAAGGTTGTTATTAAAATGCTCGGTAAGTGTCATTGGTATTAACAGACATTTATTCGTCGACATGATGCTGCATCCTCTCAACCAATTCATTTTATCTGCCTGATATGCTGTTCACATTTCTGTTATGGTTCGTTCAATTAACGTGGCCGACTAAAATACTTGTGAAATGGAAAATACGAAAATTTAATTATTATACGGAACAAATACCCATAACCTTATAGGAGGCTAAGGGAATTCATCCAAATTCCTATCGTACGCAGTTGAACTCCACTCTGCAAGAGTGTCGCTGAATGAGTATCGATCATGAATGAACCTTCCAATTTATCAACTCGGAACTAGTACTCTTAGGGAATGCTNATGCTCGATGTTTCAGTGAAGAGGTCAACGTTAAGTTCTGTTTCTTTGAAGGCATTATGAATGAGTGTACTTGACTATTTTTGCAGATTTGCATCGATGAGTTTCCTGCACTGACTGAATTGCTACAGATTCATTTCAAAAGCTATAGATTCATCTTTTGAAAGATCGTCATCAGCTAATTTTATCATCGAAAGCAAAAAGTGAAAAGCAATCTAGTGATTATTTGCTGAGAACGTAAAAATGAACTTAAAGCGAATCACTGCATCAAACTCAATTGAGGAGATTAGTCTGTGGAAAAGTTTGAACTGAACATCTTTTTGATGATTTTGACACTGCTAAATGTCGTGCTCAACGAATTCAGTAAAGAATTTAATCTCGAACGAAATCTCATTTTAGGATACAATTTTAGTACTCCTGGAAGCTGGTGTTCTCATATTTCTGGGTGTTCAGTCTAAGTATGCAATCGCTGTCATTACTTTGATTATTTCGAATGTGCAATCAGAATGAATGAAAGCTTTCTTTTCTGCTTAACATTCATGTAGTACTTCAAACGAGCTTCTGCTTTCATGCATTTCGCTGAAACGAAAAAAAGTTAACTGGTTGTTGAATTTTAAAAATGGGTTTTCTTTTACCATGAGGATTTGAGCAGGTATCTCAAAAGTCGTGCACGAGAAAACAGCTTTTCAAAGAATCACTTCGGACAGTAATCAAAAGATTAAACGATTAGGAAAAAGCTGCCATCTTTCTTGGGTCTATATTGCACTCACAGAAGACAAGTTCGTCATTATAGTCACGAAAAATAGTGTGTGATGAAGAATTGATGAATTTCTCTTCGTTCCTACGAAGACCTTTCTAGACTATATATGAAATTACTCAGATATATAATTAAAAATCCACAGCGGACGAGTGTAACTTCATGAAAATGAGCAGGTGATTATAACTTCATGAAAAGCACACATTCGATTTTGTGGATGTCAAAAAGATCAATTTCCAGTGACTGTAACAGCAATATTCTTCTTATGTTATCTACCATATCACATCGATCGACTAATTGTGCACTACACGCGTGAGAAATGCGATAAGTCGAGTGTATGCTTAATGCTTTATCCAGTCACCGGTCTTCTGCAGTACTTCAGTGCTGCAATGAACCCAATCCTCTATAATTTGATGTCGACTCGATTCCGGAACGCTTTCAAAGGTTGGTTCCGGAAAATACTCAGGTCAACGTCATATAAATCCGTTGCTAGATGACTGGTAATAATTGATGATCATTCAATGTATATTTATATTTTACTCTCTATATGAGATTAATTTGTATACTTCAGGATTTGCCTTCTGTTTTGCCGTACTTCTTATTGAATGTTTTCACGGTTATCAAGCGAGTAAATGCGCTCCCATTAGGTTGGAAATGTGTTGCATTGGTGATGGAATGAAACAATGTCCGTGATGCATATGAAACATCAGTTTTCGACTGGACATCCAACATGTCATAATGATAAAATTTTTAGCAAACATATGCACTAATGACATTTTTGAAGTGATATTTCGCCACAGTTCAATAGTAATTATCCAACGATAGGCTAATTTGAGTCACTGATGGAACGTAAAACTTGCGATGAGGTTAACTGTGCAAAGAAAGAGAAGAGCAGCATTACTGGCATCGCAACTGTTACATCTCGTATGATACCGACTGTAACATTCATAACAATCAGCGTAGTCAATGAATGCTTACAGTTAATATATTTCCATATTCCTGTCTTGTGCTGATACTTCAAATCTAATCAACAGTGACATTTTCGTTTATTTATCGATTTTTTTAAAATTCAATTATTCATGCATATAATGAACAGTGAATAACAAAAATTTCTCCATGGACTACCAGTCACAACTGGTGTTCGTCGGGAAACAGAATCCCCGATACGGCCCTTACCCCGACAGTTCTGCTCCTAGACTTTATGGTCGTAGTCCCCACCAACAGATTCTCCTCGCGAGGACCCCTTCCTGACAATCTACTTCTAGAATTTTTTGTCCCAGCCCTCTCCGTCTACTTTTCTCCCCGACGGGATCTCCACCCCAGCCAAAAGTTGCTCCCCAACGAACACCAGTCACAGCCACTCAAATTTACGGTCATTTCAAACCAGTTGTATATCTTGTGGTGAATAGAGAGAATTTACCGTGTGGACTTATTTGGGTGAGGAATCCAAGGAATTCCGCCGCTTCAAACGGAATCGCCGAATGAGAAGGAAAATACTTCCTCCTGCCTACAATACCTTCCTCTCTGAGTTGTTGTCTGAGAAGCAATTCCAGCACCTATTCCAAAGGAAGAGTACCCTCTTCTCAGTGTTTTATCAGTATATATATA